TTTTTTTAAAAAAAAAAAAACCACCACCACACTCATTGGGGCAGGAAATGAGATGACCCATTGACCTTTATTAATGTGCAGTACAAACTGAACTGGCAACTCAGAGAATGCATTAGCGCGTGGAGAAGAGTTCTCAGAATGCAGCCTCTTCTCTGTAAGGTTCTTGTGGTAATAGACTGACGTGGCTTGATGAGGTGCGGGAGACTCGTCCCACTGCACTCTCTGGGAAGATGAGATGCAAAAGCGAATCACGGATGATGAGAGCTGGGTGAAAGTTTCTTAAACGATTTTACATGGGAAAATTATCATTTTTTTTCATGTTTCATCAAACCCCCACCCCACAAACTAATCCAAATTTTAAATTTAAAACATCATCAACATGGTTATTGAATTTTTGGGTTTGATTTTTAAAATGTCAGCAATTTTTCCCCCAAAAACCATAAAAAAGGGGCTCTTTTGAGATCCTTCAAAATGAAAACCACTTTGAATTTTTTCCCACCAAATTAGGTGGGGGGGGAGGGTTGTAGTGTTTTTTTGCATTTCAGGGAGAAATGGGGAAGAGAAGCTGTATCTTGTGTGCCAACTTTTCACCTGTTAAGTGGCTTAACCAGAGATCCAGATCCCAGGCCCATAGTCCTACCCTTGCTGGGTTCAGGACCATGCTAGCAATGGCTGTTTAAACACAGTTGTTGCTAGCAGGGTTGGAGAGAGGTTCCCTCATGAAGTAGCATAGATTTTCGTTCTCTCTGGGAATCACACTGGCTGAGATGTTCTCTAGATAAACCCCCACTCTGGCTGGGGGGCTTAATGGAGTTAGGTGTCCAGCTCCCATTAAGATGGGAGTAAAATATTCAAAAGGACCTAAGCGATCTAGCCGGAGACCCCTGACTTTCAATGACACTTAAGCTCCTAAATCACATAGGTGCTTTTGAAAATTTTACCCTGAGTGCCTAGCTCCTGTAGACCTCTGAATAGTCCCCTGTCGCTCTCGGTGAGAGAAGCCGGGCTTGCAGCAAAGCACTCCACGTTTTATTATTCTATAAAAGCTGACCATGTGCATGGCTCCGTACGAGCCACCGAAGAGCTTGCAGTCGGAGAATGGGAGAGGATCCGATGCACTAGGAAGCCCCACAACTTAAAGCAGCTTTTTGACTGTAAGAATTTGTCTCATTTCTGAAACATGGCTAGATCTAGCCCAGTCCTGACCCTCAGCTCTTTACTTAGCTGCATCCTCTAATAAGGACTGAGGCCCGTAGGCCCTGTCTATGCCGCAGAAGATCCTGTGTCGGGGAGCCCGCTAAGACTTTTCAGGGCTGTAGAACAGCACGAGAACAATCACCGTTGTGCTTATTTGTACAGTGCCAATAGCTTGCTGGGACTTTGGGGCAGGTGTCTCCTCATCATGCCTGTCTGTAAAGAGCTTACGGTCTAGGCAGACCATGTACAGACACAGGAAGGGAGACAAGAAGTGATGAAATCCGTGTGATTTGAGCATACATCAAGGTAATTCACACCTGCGCTTAACCATGCTGGAGGATGGGAGAGGCCATCCGTCCTGTAGCCGGGTCCCCCAGCGGTGTGCATTCTGCAGCGTGTATAGGAATGCTGCTGTGAATCCAAATAACACAGATGATTATTATAAGGGTCAGCCGGTCTTCATGTTTTAGGATGTCAGCTATCACCTGCTAGAGGCCAGGAAGAAATTTCCTTCCAGGAAGCTAAATATGCTTGGGGAGCTTATGCCTTTCCCCAAGAATCCAACAGGCAGACTAGGAGAATCAGCGGTCTATTCTGGGGAGACAGTCATGGGGTAGGTAAGAGAATTAGTGGCTAAGGGGACTTCTGGTGGATGCATCTAGTGATTCCATCCATACCCAGTGCTTTCATTGCCACCTTCCAAATGATACTAAGACAATGAAGCAACCTCCTCTCTTCTCCTTCCCTCCCTGCCTTCTCCCCCATTGCTCCCTCATTTTACGCCGCAGAGTCAGGTGGGAGCCCGTCTTGCCATCCCCTGTAATCCCGAGGCCGGTGAATCCAGGGGGAGACAGCCAGGTGATGTACCTGCTCTGAAGGATGAGTTGGTGGATTGAGGTTGACGTGTCCTAATATCTCTGCCAGTGCTTTCAGTCTCCATCAAGGGCTTTGGGAAGCACATTAGCACCGGAGCAGAAGTGTCACCCTCTGGCATCTCTTTCTCTCGGCCGGAAGCCGTTGCAGTCGCCCCTTTCACCAGACCTTTTCTATCCCAACCATTTATGCGGCATAAAAGCCCTCGTGGAACAGGGAGGGAATGGTGGTGTCAGTTCAGATCCGGCGGAATGTTCCACCTGACTTGTCCACGTTAATCGGTGCTTTTTGGGGGGGCGGCGAGGGGGGTATCGTCGCCTCTTGCCTGCTCGCAGAGCTCGAAACCAAAGAAGGTCGCTGGCGACGCATTTAGAAAAGAGTGGAGTCACAAAGAGACATTTAACAGCGTTTGTTGGGACCACAAGGGGATTTCATTTAGATAAATAGGTGCTGACCTCCTCAGTGCTCCGGGTGCAGGCCGAACAAGCCCTGGTTTGAAATGTTAAGTGCCTAAAAACATCATAGTGAGGAGGATTTCCTCCCACCAATGGGAATCAGAAGCCACTCGTTTGCGGGTTTCAGGAAAACCATCCCAGCTCTAACCAACTTGATTCAGTTTTCTTTGTGCTGTGTTTATAGCCCAGTCCTCCTTTAATTAACAGTTGCCATCACGACGATTCCTGATGCCCTCGGACCCTGCCTTCCTCTGTTGAAATAAAAAAACAACACCCCATTGTTCTTAGTCGCAGCGCTGCTGTGAAAACAGCACGCTAAGTCTCTTGGGAGCCTCCGTGTGCTGTTCTAACGGTGTCTTGAACAAACGTTTCAGGAGCGCCCGGCTTGCAGAGCCCCGCTTTCCTGTGCCACCTGCACACGTTTTTAAATAGCTGACCATGAGATGTTAAAGAGCTATCCTCGCATCCCGCATGCATCAGGCGGCTTAGAGTCTGTGAAGTACAAGTCCGAGGCTGCTGCTTGGGGATGACTATTACAAGCTGTAATATCTACGGGATTTTCTTATTTAGCCTGGGTTCTTTCCCCTTAGTGCTACAAAGAGGCTGTCTTGATGAGTTATTAGGACCGGGAAAGATCAAGACGATCATTCAGATTGCATCTCCGGGTGGCTTCATGCTCCAACACGTATCAGAGGGTCTAGGTCGCCTCTCTGCCCCCTTAGCCCCTCCTAATAAAATGGGTCCTATGCTGCTTTTTCCAAAAGACAGCAAACCCCGATTTTTGTATTTAATTGTAAGTAACGTACAGCGGGTAAGAACCTACCTAGATCTAAGGGGATCCCCCACAGATGGAGAATCCTTCTCCGTTATTCTAGTGTCTCGTGTCTGTTTATCGCTGGATCGTTGTGGTGTCTCTGTCAACATCGAGGGCATGAGGTGGGCTTGTGCTCTGCGTTCTGTCTCCCTTTTCAACCCTTCTGGGGCAAAGTCTGCCGTTCCTGCTGGCAGAAATGTTCAGAGCGATTGAGACGGGGGCCAGAGTCACTACTGAGACTACGACCCTTGGGTGCCACTTAGGCAGCTCAAAGGGATGGGGATCTGTCCCCCCAGAACTCCCTGCTGCTTTAAAGCTGGAGGAGGTGACTCCTGCACCGGCTGCCTCCCAGGTCCACTGGAGGGTGGAGAGGCGGGACGGTGGTGCAGAGCTGCACTACACCGGGCCTCCACTGGCTCGGCCCGTCTACCTCCTGCCTGGGCACTCAGGAATCAGGATGATGGAGCCATAGCCGGCTCCTTGGCGCCCCCTTCTGTCCTGCCCCAAGCAGGCTCAACCACAGGCCCTAAATCTTTTTTGGTGTCGTGTTCTTTTGGGGCCCGGCTGCTAAATAACTAAAACTGTTTGTGCTTCAGCAAGGATTCGTTCCCGCCCCCGGGCTTCCAGCTCCCCGTTCAGTCCTGAAGTAATAAAAAACATTTAGTGCTTCTATCGCACTCGTCTTGATCAAAGCACGTTATAAACATGACTCCTCCCAAACCCTGTGAGCTGGGAAAGGATCACTATTGACAGAAGGGGAAACTGAGGCACAGAGCAGGGAGAGCCCCTTGCGCCAAGCACACAGAGGGTAGCTGGTGTCGGGGCTGGGATTAGAACTCACGGGAGGTGGGCGGAGTCCCCGAGTTTAAGGCCAGAAGGGACCATCCGCTCACCTAGTGTGACCTGACAGTCACAGGCTGTTCAGCAGCACCAAGCCCGACAATGGGAATTAGACCAAAGTATTACAGCCCTCAGGAGTAAACTATTGGTGGCACTGAAGCCGCACCAGTGACTCTGCGGCACCTCCGCTTGTGCACATCCGGGCCATTGCTTTGCTGTCCTCAGAGCTTGGCTGAGCGGGGAGCAAAGCCCTCCCCCAGACACAGATCTCTTCAGGGGGCACAAGGGAAACATCCCCCGCCCATCCCCAGCTCGTCTTTTCTTTGTTTTTTTCCCCTCCCCTGGTTTTTCCATTCGCTGCAGCGTGTGGAAAATCTCTCTTTCAGAGGGTCTCTGCGCCCATCAGGTCAGATCACTTCACACCTCGTCACCCAGCCAGCGCAGCCATTCCGGGGAAGGGGGAGGGATTGGGGAGGGAGTGCGTAGTGGTGAGGGTTAAACTGCCGAGGTCTCCTGCCCGTTCTTCTCTTCCAAGGCATGATCCATTTTGGAGGGTGCAAGCAGCTTGCCGTTATCTGCCAAAGCCGTAAACCTGGGGCAGGCCAGCCTGATGCCGTGACTGGACCTGCGCTTTGCTAATTCATGATGGAGTCAGCTCCAGGGCCATTTTAGTCACTCGCCCTCTGATGTTTCCACGTGGGACTGTTGTCTTCCTGTGTACAGCTGCCCCCTACTCCGATGTGCTTTCAGTTCCTCCTTCAATAACAGCCGCCCCCATGCTCTCGTCTAATTGTCTGCCGGTTCCTTTTGTGTCTCTGCAGGTGCTGACGTCCCTTTGGAGGTTCTGTGAGTTTCGCTGAACTGGGGCCTTCCTGGCTGGGGTGGGAGGTCGTTGCCAAGAATGAGGATCCTTTGCAGCCCGGGAATGTCTTCGCTGGTCCCTCTCGTGAAACTCCTCTCCTTGCTTCTGATTGGCTGCGTGTCTGAAAGTAAGTGACCTCCCCCCCCCGCCGATCCCCTTGGCTTCTTGGCTCTTACCCGGCATCTCCACCACTCGCCTCCTTTTGCAGCTCGGAGAAGGGACAGGCTCGATTGAGCGTCTCTTTTTAAAGGGCCAGTTAGCACATTCCTTCCCCAACCCATTAATAAACGCTGAGTGTGAATTTGGTGCAGGTGAAGGGTTTGGTGCCTTGAAGGCCTCTGCTTATCTCCAGCCCAGGCATCTCAAGCTTCCCATGTGCTCCTCAGCTGTTGTTCCCAACCCTGCCTTCAAGGGATCTTGTATGGAGAGGAGGGAGGAGCAGCACGGTCTCTGTTGCCCGTTTCAGTCTTTGCAGAGGCTGCCAAATTGGCCTGGGTATTTTACTGATGTCACCCCTTGCTTGTTGGGAATGGGACAGAGACCTGGCAAACTCATTTCACTTGGTCCTGTCCCGTTCTCCCCTTCCCCCAAGCATCTGTCGGACGCTAACGACCCTTGGCCCGCTGCTCACCAGGGTTGGATTCAAACCAGCAGCTGAAGCACGAGTTTTCTGTTCTCCGTCTCGTGAGCCAACCAGTCCCAGTTTAACACTGTTTTTATCTTCTCTGCCGTGCAAGTCTTGCTGTAAAAACCTCCGCGACTTGCACGTAATGTTCCTTCGGCACGAAGGCCGATTACTCGGGGATCAGCAGAATAGACTTTTCCCAACTGATTGAATTATGACTTTTTCTTCTCCCCCAGCAAAGCTTCTCAAAGCTGGCAAAAGAGCCGTTCTGGTCAGCTCAGCCCTCGACAGCTTTGCATGTAATCACTTCGTTATCAGGGTTTATTAAGAGGAGGTGTTCGTTGGGGATTAAATGGGGAAGGAGACCCTTTGTCGCTGGGATTTTTTTTTTGTTTGATCGCGCTGTGTCTTCTCTGCAGAAGATGGGGCAGGTGTTTGCCATTCCCTAGCATAGCACTCATTTTTGTACAAATTCCGTTTAGCCCCTTTGTGTGTGGGAGGATTGTACATGTATGGGAAGATATGGTACTTCCTCATTTACTAAGAGAGGGAAGGGAATTGATCTCCAAGAGGTTCAGAGCTGGGTCATTCCCTGGTATGAGATCTCAGCGATTTTAATGTATAGTTCTGCATACATGCATGTGTATTGTTATAATGGTGGCAGTGTGGCCTAGTGGTTAAAACAGGAGGCTGAGAACGTGGAATCCTGGGTTCTGTTGTTGCCACCGACTCATGGTGTGACCCTGTTGTGAAGCATGCACAAAAACCCAGTGTATGGTCATGCACAAGTGTTTGCATTTGTAGGCATCTTTGCCTGCACACAGCCCTGCCTCGTGTGTATGTTGTGGGTGCTGAGCAGCTAGGAAAATCAGGCCCCATAATTATTTTTTTTTAAGATGTGTGCGTCTGCACTGAGTGCTCACAACCCCTATTGATGCCTGTTGGAGCTTTGGGGGCCCAGCACTTCTGAAAAGCAGGCCCATCAGCCTTAACCTCCTTGCCGTCTTGATTTTCCCTGTCTGTATCATGGGAGGGGGATTCTATGTACCGAGCTCCGGTGGGGTGGGGCTTAGTTATGGGACATTTGCGAAGTGGTTTGAGATCCCCCCCCCAAGGCTGCTACACAACTGCCCCGTATCTTTGCTGTGTTTGAGAGAAACCAGGCTGTGCTTTAGGAAGTGCAGCTGTTTGGGAAAGACAGATTGTGGCGGAAGGCACCTGTTGCATGGCTCAAGCTGTGCCGGTGACTGGCATCACTAAACACCTTGTTGCTGGCTGCCAGGAAGCTGCCTGGCTTTTCTTCACGGTAACTCTGCAGTGTCCTCAGGCCCCAGACAGTAAAAGCTGTGTGTGTGCGGGTGGCTCCCTCAGGTCCCTGACAATAAAGCTCTGTGTGTGTGTGTATGTGTTTATATCTTGCTTTCTCTGGATTTATTCACTCCCTGTGTCCAGGTTTACCTCCCGGCCCTTCCCACATCTCCAGTACAAGACCTAAAAAGACCCAGGCTGTTTTGCCTTGACCTGCAGGCTGCTGTCTGTCATGGGCAGATGAGTGAGTGGGAGATGATTATTGGGTTCCTCCCACTCTGTCCAGCCGGCTCCTATCCTGTGCTGGGGGTAGGTGGGCAGGGTTCTCCCTCGACTCAGGTTGCTAAGGGGATGGGGAGCAGAATTTCTCTTCCTCCCTATGCTGCAGAATTGTGTCCCCTCGGCAGAAGGGCGTGGGAATGTCACGGTTTCTCTTCCTCTGTATTTCAGGGTAGCGTGTGGTCTGAGAGGCAGGGGTGTGTCTGTCTGTCTGTCTGGCAGGGATTCTCTCCCAATCTATTCCTAGAGGTCTGATGCTGCTGGAGACCTCGTTGGGCTGTACCTATGAATAAACGAACAGTGATAATGAGTTGGTTTGGGCACGGGTGCACCTCAGTCCCTCCTGTTCTTCGCCTGCGGCACATGCTAGTCGAGTCTCCTGTGGACTGGAATACTGGGCTTTGATTTTGGGTGCTGGGTTTGGGTGGTGCTGGTGGCCTGTGATGTGGAGATCAGACTAGATCCAGTGGGCCCTTAATATCTATAACACCCCCCACCCCACCCCCACACACATGCATTCCAAGAGCGCTGATTTGGAAGAGATGGCTGGGGGCCACCTGGGATGCCCCAGCCTCCACCCACCCGGTCTGTAGCGCTGGAGCCAGTCTGTGCCACTCGCCGGGGAGGTATCTCAACAGCAAACAGCTTTGCCTGTCACAACCGTTGAGGCAGCGTGAGGAGCTGCCACTCGGTTCTGACAATGTCGTCTCTGGTTGTATGGCCTTGGGCTCTCGCGCGTAATCCCTTGGCCGGCTTCCATTTGGCTGGTGCTCACCACAGCACTGACCTGTTTTCCTGTCCTCATTCCCCACGGGACACCACGGCTTTGCAGCCACCAAGGCGGTGTCGGCCAGGGAGTGGTATCGCCACTTGCCTGTTAGGAGTCCCAGCTCAGAGATGACAAATGCCTTGCTCCTGAGCGGTGGCTTCTTCCCAGCTCCAGAGGGAAAGGATGGGCTTGTAGTGAAAGCACAGAGCTGAGAGCCAAGACTCCTGCGCTCTACTCCCACCTTAGTCGTCTTTCTATGCGACACTGGGCAAACCACTGCCTCTTCTGTGCCTCAGTTTACCCCCTATACAAGGGCTCTTCAAACACTTCCCCCTGTTCCGCAGGTGTGCTGGCAGATTTAAATCATTGACGGAGAGTTTTGAAGAGAATGCGGCATGGAAAGGACAGCCGTGGTATTAAAAAAAAAAAAATCATACTTTATTTTTAACCTACAGCTCTTACTAGATGCCTTTAAGACAAATATAAGTGAAAGGGGATAAAGAAGTAAATTTTCTCTGTTTGGTTGGTTTTTTCCTTTGTGTGTGGACACTTTCAGTCTTTCCCCTGTATAGTTGGGGGCAGGCACAGAATTCAAAATGGTTAACTCTGGTTGTGTGTTTTTTGTTTTTTGTTTTAAAGTTCCTTAAATGGGAAGTACTATCATTGTTTATTCAACCAACCCTCAGGAATAATAATGCTTAACATAAGAACGGCCATACTGGGTCAGACCAGTGGTCCATCTAGCCCAGTATCCTGTCTGCCGACAGTGGCCAGGGCGAGATGCTTCCAAAGCAATGAACAGAACAGGGCAATCATCAAGTTCCCCGTCCCCTGCTGTCCAGTCCCAGCTTCTGGCAGTCAGAGGTTTAGGGACACCCAGAGCAGGGGGTTGCATCTCTACCCATCCTGGCTAATAGCCATTCATGGACCGATCCTCAATGAAATTCTCATTCTTTTTTTAATCTAGTTATAGTTTTGGCCTTCACAACATCCCCTGGCAATGAGTTCCACAGGTTGACTGACTGTTGTGTGAAAATAATAATTAATAATAATAATAATAATTAATGGAGATATCCCATCTCCTAGAACTGGAAGGGACCTTGAAAGGTCATCGAGTCCAGCCCCCTGCCTTCACTAGCAGGACCAAGTACTGATTTTGCCCCAGATCCCCAAATGGCCCCCTCAAGGATTGAACTCACAACCCTGGGTTTAGCAGGCCAATGCTCAAACCACTGAGCTATCCCTCCCCCCAAGGAGGTGAAGAAGTACTTCCTTTTGGTTGTTTTAAACCTGCTGCCTAATGCTTGTACTATAGTAGTACCTAGAGGCCTTCCCAGAGATCCCATTGTGCTAGGTACTGTACATATGTCCACACACACACCGTGAGAGACAGTCCCTGCCCCAAAGACCTTACAATCTAACTCAACAAGGGAAATCGGCACAGAGCCAGGAAATGACTTGCCCAAGATCAGTGGGCCACCAGATTTCTTGATTCCCAGTACAGACCTTGCTGCCTCTGCAGCTAGAACCTTGGAGCCTCTTACTTGCGCATGTGAATATACAGAATAAGGTTTGTCTCAGGGGATGGAACACTAAAGAAACCACTGGATCTTTCCTGGCCCCTTCTCTATGACGTACAAATCCATTTGGTGCAGTAGTGTGTGATAGGCCATATAGATTTGGCCTCCTATCCCCATCTCTGACCTGAAGGAGCTATATGCATTTTTAAGTGCTCCTCAATCACAGATAAAGCCACTTACTGTGTAGAAATGTTTTATTCTTATGAGCAAAATTAGCATGTTTGCTCTTAAAGTGCATTTCGCTCATTGATTAAACCTTTGCGTTTTACAGTAGAACCTTGCTAATTGGTACTTCATTCAGCGCCGCACAAAAAGCTGGTAGCCTCCATCCCCCACCCTAGCAAAGATTTAATAGCAGGTGTTGTAGTGAGCATTACTTATGACTAATGTTTCCTCCTTGTTACAAATCATGTTCTAGAACTATTCCTAGCATGCTCCCAAGTATTACTGCAAATAATTACAGCTCAATTGGAATCGACAAAACAAAAGGATAAAGCCCATTTTATGCTGCATTACCTGGGCGTCTTTCCTTCAGTTGTGCTTGCTCTGTCCTTGAGTTGCAGAAT